TTAATAACTTTTTTGTCAGGTGAATGGAAGTCAGTATTCTTGCACTAAGTTTGATGTAAGCAAATATGGCTTTTTTGATGTAAACTGTAGAGATAAATGTGTCGTATTGTTATAGCAGGAGACATTATTGTAGTTGTGATGATGTAATAAATGTTTTCCTATTTTGTTTGTGGTATTAGGATAAGCAGTTGTAATGGAAAATAAACTTTGCATATTTTGTGTAATTTTTAATCAATTTTTAGCCCATTCTAGATCTGAATAGATTAATCTGGTTAGGGGGAGGTGGGGTGATGGCACTGGGTGGTTTTTCATAAGCCAGTGAAGGGCTTGCCTGCACAGGCTGTAAGATTCATTATTTCAATGTCCAATGCTCTGGAGATTATTCCATGTCAAGTCCTTACCTATCCAACCTACTTCCAAACCGTTGGGAGACTAGCACTTATGAGCTTAGAGGACTGTATGCATTTAAATTCTCTCCTAAGTTGTGCAAAGATACCCCTATCTGATTAAGAAGAAGTCATCTTAATAAAAGTAAGAAATGTTCATTTCTTTGATCAAATAGCAAGATTCACCCAGGCCCCAGAATAACCTTGCTACACTCTGGGTCAAAAGGTCCAAGCTTCAGCCAATAATTGGCCAGTTTTTTTTCAGTCCTATTCTAAAGAGAAGCACTCTTGTTACAGTACTGTTAAAAACCAAACAAGAGATGGTGCCTCATGTGATTGCAATGTGTTTCCTGGTCATTGCATCACAAAAAGCCCTCCATAGAGAGGAGAGCAGAAAATTACCAATAAGTTGATCCAATAGAAGCTCAAACATCCCCCCCTCCTTTCTCCTGGGCAACCCTCTGCAAATTTGAACTTTTGAGGATTTGGTAAAGAAAATTGGAGCTTAAATGACCCCGAAAGCTGACTCTTTACCTTCAAAATCCTCCATATTTAGAATCAAAACTCATGTTTTCCCACTGCTTTAAATTACCCACCCCACCCAGTCAAGGTTCAAATGTCCTTCCTGGGAGCATGGAAAAGAAGGGGGAGGAGGGGGGTTTGGAGGTGTGGATGTTGAAGCTGTAAACTGATTGGTGCATAAACCTCTGTAAGTCAGCGTGGAAAACTCACAAAATGCAAAAGAACAAATGTAAGTAAGAAACTTTTTATTAAAAACTACATCATCAGACTTTAAATCCATTCCCATACAAATCCATCATCTTTACCCTACCTTTACATACTAATCACCTATATTAGGCTCATTGTATGAGCTAGGGTTACCTGTAGTAGGTGTCATGACCAAAAAACAAAAAATCCCTTGTGAAGAAGGAATTTTGTTAAGATTTTAAGGTTAATGCATCTGAAAAACTAAAAAAACCTTCTTACAGCTATCAATAGCACTGAAACAGGTTGATAAGGTCAGTTTCTCCTGACCTTTTTATCCCTTTAAATTTTCACTATAAATTCACTAACTTCATTCCTGCCCTTACAAATTTTTTTCCCTAAAATATTCCCAATCTGTAGCAATCATACAAAGAGAATTTAATTTCCTATTCAATCCAAACCATATTATATTTTATTCTAATCCTAATTAGGATAGTGTATTTAGCAAAGGGAAAATTTTAACAACCATTTGGTTGTTAAACATTTTAGGTGGTGTGGCCAAGTGGTTAGGGCCCTGGACTTGTAATTTGGTGGTCCCAGTTTTAAGTCCTCCACCTTGCCATTCACTACATTTGTTTTTGGTCGCCCTGAGTTCAACCCCTTGGCTGTGCTGTGTAAATAACCACCTGGTTTGCTTCCTGGCAGTTGGGACTTTCAAGTTATTGTAAAGCGCTATTGAATAGCAATAGAAATAATGCTACATAAATAAAATGTTATTATCATCATCACTACTAAATTGTATCACTCTTTCATGTTAAATAATTCTATTTTTCTAGAAGCTTTTTAAAAGCATTCTTAATATTCATAGCTTATTTTTGCAGAAACACATAATTGAATAATAACAAAAATTAATTAATTAAAGCAAGTATAATCCTTCATGACACTTAAAGAAGTCACTGCAACAAATTGTACAGCTTTAAAATTTGAGGTCCATGTATGGCTCATTTTAAAACTTCCATGAAATGCTCAAATCCAATTGCAAACCAGTTTCAATTTGTGTCACTTGCTTTTATGCACAAAATTCAAGAGGATTTGTCTCTGCAACATGTTCCTGCAATGTATTACAGTCCTCACAGTGTATCTTGGTTAACCCTTTAACTCCAAGATCAAATTTGTAATTCTCCTTATTGCATTGTCAACCATACAATTCTTATAATGTTAGTTCAGAGAATTTAGTATTGGATCAACTAACTATCCCCAAATTGATATTTTTCTTTAGTCTCATCACTTATCTGGTTGATAGTTTACTGGTAATGTAAGGAGAAATTCTGTCTTGGTCACTCATAGGAGTTAAAGGGTTGAGGTATTGAATACATCTGCTTTACCAAGCTTTAGTAAAACCTCACTTTGATTACTGTGACATTGTCTGGGGTAGCTGTGGGATAACGCTACGAGATAAGCTGCAGAAATTACAGATTAGAGCAGCCCGTGTTTTGACATTTTCCAGCTATGATGCCGATGCAACTAAGCTACTTGAATTTTTGAGTTAGAAAAATCTGACAAGCCAGCAGGAAATTCATAGAGTTACCATGGTTTTCAAATGTCTGCACGGGCTAGCTCCTGAATATCTTAATTCTAAGTTTAGATGGCGTAACACTGCTTATGACCTCAGGGACTCTGAAAATAAACTCAATGTTCCTCTACCTCGCACTAACTATTATCGAAAAAGCTTTAGCTATAGTGGAGCCACATTATGGAATAGTCTTCCATGTGATATAAGGAACACAGAGTCTCTGGGGTTATTTAAACGCAAGATCAATGCCACTCTATAACGCACGGCATTCACGGAAAACAGCTTTTAGTTATTAGTTAGTGTTTTAATTTTTAAATAGTTTTAGTTAATGTAATTGCTGATGAATTGTTTCGTGCTTAAATAAAGATTATACTAATAATTTCTCAACCCTCTCTGATTCAGAAACACATACTTGCAATTAAGGCAAGATGGAGAAGCTGCTATATGTAAATTCATTTCTCACTAAACAAGGGAAGTAATTTCCCTAGGCTCTACACTGTTGACTCACTAGAATCTAATTGCACAGCAATGTTTTCAGGATCACTTTGTCTTCTGCTTCTTTTGCAGTAACACCAAGACAGTAATGCTATTAATACTGCAAGAACCACAATGGGAACAGATATGATAGCCTCATATCTGTTGCCTGTTCCTAAAAATAAGAAATGACATGAAAAAAACAACTTAGTTACACGTTCATGGGATTATTTTCAGGATTATTTAAACACTTTTAGACAATCTTTTAAAATAGGGGAGAAAGTTATTAGTAACAAATTATTCCATTACAGTCAAGCCTAATTGGATAAATTAAATTACACATGAACACAACACAATAACCAATTAGGCTTCAAACCCAGACCTCTCAACCTGGAGTTCAATGTACTAACACTGATACCCCACCCCATCTCCCACATGTTTCTTTTGAGTCATCATTCAAATTCTTGGGTTGATAATTTCCCAGTCAACAATTCTCATTACCCTTCTAGTCAGAGGTTGTGATGAACATTAAATCTACTAAACATAATTTTACCAGACCTGTAGTTGGTGGCCTGGCGGTAATTGTGAAGAAGAGCTCCCCAAAAAACCTGTCGGCCGACAGTCGGCCAACAGGTTTTGCCTGAAATATAGGCTACCTGTCGGCCGACAGTCGGCCGACTGTTGGTAATGTGTCGGTAACCTGTTGGTAGCTTGTCGGTAGCTTGTCCGTGAAACGTTAACACAATTTTTCTTTTTTCTTAACCTGTCGGTAGACTGTCGGTAGACTGTCAGTCGACTGTCGGCCGACAGTCGGCCGACAGTCGGCCGACAGGTTTTTTGGGGAGCTCTTCTTCACAATTACCAAAAAATATATATGCAATTAATGCTTTAACTCCCATGAGTGACCAAGACAGAATTTCTTCTTACAATATCAACCAGATAAGAGATGACAATCAAGTAAAATATGAATTTGGGGATAATAAGATGATCCAATACTAAATTCTCTGAACAAACATTATGAGAATTGCATGGTTGACAGTCAGGAGAATGACAAATTTGATCCGGGAGTTAAATGGTTAAAGCAAGATGGAGAAGCTGCTCTATGTTAATACATTTCCTCTAAACAGAGGATCCCAAAGTATTTTCTACACTGTTTTTAGACACTGATTGCACAGCAGTCTTTGTGGCATCATTTTTTCTGCCCTTCCTTTTCTAGTAACAGCACAATAATGAGACTATTAGGACTAATGCTACAGCCACAACAGGAGCAGCAATGATGGCCTCATTTATGTTAGTTGTTCCAAAAAATAAGAAAAGACATGAAATGAAAACTTAGTAATACATTCATGGGGTTGTTTACCCACTTTTACACAATAACTTAAAATAAAGGAAGAAATTAAGGTCCACTGGAATGTAACCCCCAGATTTTTATCAGCAAGTTATTATTCCATTGCAGTTAAGCCTTGATTATTCCGACTTGTGACGACTGAGATGTATAATCAAGAGTCCAGGCAATTGAAAATATGAATATTGATGAGCCAAAAACAAAACTGAGTACACATCATTTCAATCATTGTTCATTATTGTTAACATCTTCCAGAAGAATTTTCATGAAGTTATTAACAAAAGCTTACCTACAACATGTTGCAATCTAAAATGTTGACACAACTTGGTTTGTTTCAAGCTGCTACAGTGTTTGCACGTTGCTAATTCTATCAATCTTTGAAGAGCATTAATTAAATAGCCTCAACATTGCTTCTTTACATCATGTTCTATTTGAGTCCCAGATAATTGAAAAATGTGAATTAAAAAATCTGGATTATCAAGGTCTAGATAATCAAGGTTTGAATGTACCCATTTATACTCTTGGATGGAGACGTTAGATACTATGAGAGTAAAGTGTGTAGTCTTCTTGAGCAAATTGCCCAAGAAAACAACACAATGACCAATTGGACCTCAAACTCAGACCTCTCAATCCAGAGTTCATCATACTGAACCACTGATAAGCCACCCTGCCTACCACATGTTTCTTGTTTGTCATTATTCAAAATTCTTGGGTTGATACTTTCCCAATCAACAATTTTCATGACCCTTCTGTCTAAGTTAGTGTCATAAACCTGAATGAAAACCTGGAATGCATTTAATGACTATATAATCTCTCTTACTGGGTAGAAGTTGTAATGCAAATTAAATCCACTTTAGATAATTTTACCATACCTGTAACTGGTGGCTTATCAGTCTCTCGAACAACTGAAGAGGAAAGAGCTACTGTAGAGTGTACTGGGGATGGAATTACTGTAAGAAAAAAAAAACAACATTCACAAAAAAAAATTTCACTAACATGGAAAAGAGTAGGCATTCTAAGTAAGATAATTCTTGTCATACAACTAGTGTAAAATAAAGTGTTCAAAACTTCTCACTAAGCTTCATCCACATGGAAATAACTTCCAATAACCTAAAATAAACTCCAAGTTCACTGAGGAGAACCCAACAGAATGTCTTAATTTAAAGGGTACTGATAGCAGGCCTGTTATTTAACCTAATGACTAGATTAATTTTGCCATAAACTCTACCTGAGGTGGTTAAGCTACCCAACAGAATGTTAATGTCAACACTTGGAGATGTAGGCCTCACTAACAGTGTTGTCTCTGTTAAACAGGATAAAAGAAATTGATCAGAAATATTCAAGGGAAAATATTATTAATTATTGAGGTTTTAAGTTAAATATGCAGATGTTCATACAACAGATAACAAAGAGGACTTTGACCCTTAAAGAGTAACCCCTAACAATCCTGTTAACTATACTATTTAACTCTATCATTCTTTGCAGCTGCTCTAATTTACAGAATCAAGTCAAACTGTTTCAATACAACTGCTTTGTTTGATGGGAAAAAGTGGTTACAGATCTAAAAGCAACCAATAAATATTTTCAAAAATGACACCATGAGAACCAAGACTGGACTATTGATAATCAATACAGATAATCAAGGTTCAATTATATTTCTTATTCCACTTTTTCTCCTCTCTGATTTACTAGTTATTTCTAATTCTTTTGACAAGTACTGACTTATGACTGACCAGTATGTCACAACCCCTAACATAAAATTGTAAGGAAAGGCCATATGATGATCGCTCCTTATATTAAGTGATAATTTTGCAACAAAAACAATAGAGAACTCAATTCAGCATACCTGAGATTGGTTTCATAACAGTACTGTGAGCAACCGATGACACATTACTTAATACTAGTGGGGAAGGCACAATAACTGGGAGAAAAATCAGACAAACAAGCAAATAATCAACAAACTCAGTTCTGGTGGAAAAGTATCAAGATTTTGTACATTATGATATACAAGTAATCCAAACTAACCTATTTTGGGAAGCAGTATCTGCTTCCTGACACTCAACCTTTTTTGATGTTCCTAACCAACAATACTTTGCACTTGATTGTCCACATTTTCCAGGGAAAAAGCAGATTAGAGTAGTAAATACCTAACAACATGATTTTTAGTGCAATTTGGTGTTAATAAGCACAAGTAAATTTTTCCACGACAACAAAATTGTATGAGCCTATAGGGCAAGGAAATTCGTAGTCTTCAGAAAATTAACTTGTGCATATTAACACCAAATTGCACTCAAAATTATGTTATTATGCACTCGTTTTCAACCAATCAAATGTGCATAATTTTTTCATGTATTTTATAACTGAAGAAATTAGTTATCATCGGGTGCACTACTTGGGACTGAGCTTACTAAATATGGAACACAACTAAACCAAAATAAATCTCACCTGATTTTGAGTAAAAAATCAAATACTGCTTTTCATTCCGACGATCATCTTGGCCGTAAGAAGTGAAAACAAAAAGGATCTTTCTTATCATAAATGACTGCCGGTAAAGCGTCGAAGAAGACAGAGCAATTTTAAACATTGCTCGAACTTTAAACCGATTTGTGGTAGAGGTTTTGGTAAGTTGAGAGGTCAGAGTAACATTGGCCGTCTCTAACTTGAATTCGCGCACCATCTGCGCTTCTGGTGAGGCTCGAGTGGTGCTAGAAGTATTCACAGGGTGAGAAAGGAGGCGACCGCCAATATCATCTTCTGTGTAGACGAAGACCAGGACATTTCCGACCGATACGGTATCATTTGGGAGGGTGATGTTAGCTGTCAAGATCAAGTCACTTTGGTGTTCAGATACGGTGATATTTTCAGTCGGCAAGGTAATACTGCCATCTGGGTTCAGCACAGCCTCCCCTACAAGCATAATTGTAAACATGGTTAAATTCTTCGCTTCAGTTGATATACAATGTGGCTTAATTCAACAAGTCAAGAGATCGCAATAAGAGGTATATTGTCTATCATGCGAAGGTGCTGAGTAATCGAATGTTTTCAGTCATGGCGATTAGCACACGCTAAACACATTCTGGCTTCAAACTGTCCCAAAAAACTATGAAACCGTTCTTCGGACAACAATCAGAAGTTATAGTGTTGATATTTGGCTTCTGTTCAGACAGTATTAGAGAAAAATTTTCTTCCGATCGTACAAGCTATTTCGGACCTGTAATGCCCAAGGCATTCAGGGTTGGAATGGAATAGTTGGATTTTGCATCCTTAAGACAAGAAGCGTGCAAATAACCAACAAAACAAGGCTCCCTCACCTCTCACAGCTACCAAAGAGATTAGAAAAATTCTTATGACAATCTGAGGAGGCAAAAACATAATTGTTCCCACCATATTCACGTAACACAGCTACATTCACGTAAGACAGCTACATTTACGTAACACAGCTACATTCACGTGACGTGACGTATAACTGGGAAAATACCGGAATTGGTATGGTAACTCAGTAACCAGGCCTGTTCATTGACCAAGAAATTAGCACGTTCGGGATTTAGAGTGCGAAGGGGGAAATGTTTAGCAAGCCGTGCAAGCCAAGCAATGCAAGCCGTTTAGCGACTCTTTTTTCGAAAAACCTTTGAAAACACCATTGAAATCTAAATAGCTAAACGGAAGCAATTCAGTTTGTTCAGGCAAACGAAAGAATAGGATATTACATTTTTCTTCCCTCCCCACCCCCAGCTTAGTTTTATCACTCACACCCATTTCTTTCTCAATTCCTTCACTCCTTCCTGTACTCTTTTAGCTGAGAAAATTTAAAGAGACCCCTCGATGAAAAAAAATCAAAGAATAAAACAAAAGCAAAGGTACTCGATACCTTTGAAATAGATGCACTAAATCATTCAAGGCCCTTCAGCATCTATTTTAAAAACAAAAATTAAAAGCAAGATGGCCGTAGATATTTGACTACCAAGGTTGAAAATAGCCAACGTCGGTCGAGCTTCTCCGGAAAAGATAATTAAGCACTTTCTTGAGCAAGCTCCGTGGGAAATATCAAATTCCAAGAGCTGAAAGAATAACGAAAATGTAAACAAAACGCTTCATCTCCCTCATTGCGCGGGGACCGCTTTGTTTGTGAAGTTTATCTATACCTATCCTCACATGGATTCGGCAGTTTTCGTTAGAGTCAACTCTCGCGGGAGCGTGGGCGATTTGTTTGGATACCGCGCGTACTTCCCGCCTGAGTTCGAACACGCCTGGCGCGCGGTACTGTTTGTGCTGCAGACGATAAAAATTCTTATGATATAACTTACGTCATGGGATTCTCTGGGAGAATAGGCAACGTTATGCTTTCTTCACTGCTCTCATTATACCAAGGGGGAAAACTTGCATTTTGACAAGGGCAAGACCACCAAATTGCGAACAAGAGGGAATAAGGGTATGTTAGACCGTCGATTTGTCCATGGCCTCGTTCGAGCTGCCGGCAAGACCAAATCCAAGACCGCTGACTCCGTATAAAAATTTCCCGGACTCTTTCGCCTTAGGAGGCATCTAAATTTTCCAGGTGACTCGTTTGACAGCTACTCAGGGGTTATTAACGCTAATCTGATCGTGCAAGTCTTCTTAAACTCCCTTTTCAAGTCTACCTATCTTATATTCCCGTCTATCTTGTATGCTCTCTGGTTTATAACAAACTACATATAAATTAATTGTTAAAACTTTTAAGAGGCTAAGCGTGCAGCATGGCAATGGGTAATGAACTCCTTTGTATCAAAGGCTGGTAGGGGGAAACTCTGCTAAGGGCCACCTGTCTGTAACGGTGAACTCTCCACTGCACTATTTTTTTTCTCCCCGCGAATACATTTACTCATGGCCATTTCTTCACAACGGCCCCCAACCTCTTTTCTCAAAGTGAATAGGGCCTCGGCGTCCCGGATTCTACTGTTTCCCACCCACTTGAACGCTCGAATGTACTTCTTTTGACCCCACAAAACGACACAAATCAATGTTAAAAATTCGCCGAAACCATGGAAAATCGTAAAAACAACAAGCCAAGTTCTCACTCTGGGCAATCAATACACAGGATAATATCACAAGGAACCTACTCGAAATCATAGCGGGTTTTAAAATTGCGCATGCCTTGAGTTAAAAAATTTCAAGTTTGGGGGTGTGTCAAAATTCTGGATCCTGATTGGTCAAAATGCATCAACTGGTACAAAATATGGCTCAGTGATGCACTAACTCCACTCGATCAGCAGATCTTATGTCTCGATCCTCTTTGTCTTCTGCATGACCTTTGCCATACCAAAATGCAATTCCTCCAATCAGGAATAAAGCTAATGCAACAACCCTAATAGCAGTACCAATGACAGCCTAAATTTTGTTGCCTGGTCTTAAAGGTAAGAAATAACATAAAATAACAACTTAGGTAAACCTAGATGGGAGTGCGTTCCAAATGGTGACATTGAGATGTGTTTGTGAGGTACTCTTCAATTATGTGATGTTTACAATACACTGTGCATTCACAAAATCAATGGTGGCTTTAAGCTAAATAGCAAAAGAAAAAAATGTTTGTACTAAATGAATCAATTGGTACCTGGAGTTGTAGTTACTGTAGCAATTGGTTCATTTGTAGTTTCATTGACTTGGCTGGTCACACCTACTTAAATGAAATGCTAGCTGTAAAATAACATTCATATAAAAACAAACAACCTATCCCTTACTAACAGTGCCATGCATATTGCTGATGTGTCCCCCATTAAACAAGCTATCACTATAAACTTAACCTTTCACTCCATACCATACTAATACAGTATCAAGCACAAAGTGTTGAGAATAAGGAAAAATATCAATTAGGGGATTAATATAGTTATTACAACTCCAAATTCTCCACACTAACATCATAAGAATTGTATGGCAGAGAGTAAAGAGAAATACTAAATGAGATCCTGGGAGTGAAACAGTTAAACAATACTTCATACATGCTTGACAGACTGAAAGTCTCAATTCCTAGCTGACTAAATGAAATTGACTTCTAAATAACTGACCAACTGGTTGAGTGATGCTCTTTCCCAATAGAGGCATCAAAATAATATGTTGAAAAAAACTTAAATTAAATTATAGTTGCCTCTTTGTGTATAGTGGTGGTGAGGTACACTAAATGTTTGAATTTATCTGCAGACTGATTAATGCATCACAAAATGGGGCTAGCTTTACACAACACTCTTTACTGTTTGCCATAAGTGAACAATCCAATTATCCTCTACTCATAGAATTTCGTCACTGGTAGTATATAGCAGATATCCAATGGTTAATCACAATCTCTATATCACTTTCTTGTATATATAGTACCTGTGGATGAAATACCTTTGCTCATTGGTGCTGCTGTTCCTGCTGAGAGAAATATGAAAACAAAGTCATCAGAGTATGTCATTACTGCATGCACCATTTTGTGCGCATAAACAAAATTTTTTAAAGGCAGCGTGGGTCTACTATCTTCATTACACAGATTTCTGAAGGGGCAAAAATGATGAAAATATATATTTATATATACAAGGGCAGCTCCATTCAAATATTCAACCCAACTTCACAGTAAGATATTAATTAACAATTATTCATTGAAGGTAAAGTCAAGGGGATTATTCAATAGTGTTCACTAGTCTGAGCCTGAGGTTAATAATTGTTGATCAATTTCCTTTTCTAGGGTCCTTTTGCATTCTGTTGTACATCCATTTTGTAAGTTGGAAATTTTTAACTCTGTTACAATTGTTTGGATTACTCACATTGGGATGGGTGGCCAGTCTCCATTAGAATTTGATAGGTTCACTAATACAATCAGCAAAAACTTCATATCTTTTGTTTGAAAAGTGTTGCTCCACACTTAAAAGCATCTTTTGTGCTCTTTATCAGTTCCTCAGTAACACCAAAAAAACTCAAGGCAGCCATTTTGAAGTGTAGCATTCCTGCTTCAATTACCTGGCGTGAGCTCTTGCCTTTTACAACAAAATTGACCATCAAAAATGGCACTTGGGTAGGGCATTTTAGCTCAATTTTGGTCCTAATGGACAGGAATTTGAAAAGAGCAATCTTCAAATGTTCAACGAGTAAATTTTTCCAAGACAACAAAATTGCACAAGCCCATAGTGCGAGAGAAATTTGTGGACTTTGTAAGATTTACTTTTGCTTGTTAACACCAAATTGCACTCGAAATCATGTTGTTACTTGGTAATAATTTACATAAAAAACCCATCACAGAAAGTCACGATGGACAAAATTTTGACACAACATGCATACTATTGATTTGCTCTTGTGTTACAACTTTGCACTCATGGCAAACGTGCATAATTTTTAAGAAATCAGTTCCTATCAGGTGCACTGCTTCAGGCTGAGCTTACTAAATAAGGAACACAACTAAACAAACTAAATCTCACCTGACTTTGCATAAAAAATCAAGTACTGTTGCTCACTTTGATGATCATCTTTACCACAAGAAGTTATGACAAAAATATATTTCATATCATGAATGACCAAGTCAAGTTTGCCTCCAGATTGATTAACGTCTAAACGAGTTGCTTTATGTTGAAAACTAAAAACAAGTTGGAACCAAGACAAGTTTGAATGATAATTGCCAACGGCCATTTTGAGAGTTCACATGTGCGTGGGAGGTGAGGCAACCATAAACAACTAATAAATCAACCAGAAACAACTATGCTAGCAGTTATGCATTCGTCTCTTATCTAGTTCGCCCTAACTCATCTTAATTTAAGTGTGTTCCACATTATCACAAGTTCAGAGTACATAGTTGTTCCCAGTAACTCCTGATCCTAGAGTATACAGAGATAAAATACAGATAAATACAGAGTATTTAATTGATTCCCTCATTCTTAAGTGATTTTCGTCACAAATCAACTCATCTGGACATTACTCAATCTTGGTGGTGTCGAACTCAAAAACTGTAGGGGCGAACGCGGTATAAGGTAGAGCCGAACTCAATATGGGGCGAAAGCTAGGGAGATGAAAATTATTTTTTACCGAGCTGTTGCTCTCTGAAAGCACGTGGTTGACTTGTTCACATCACGTGTATGTAGCTCTATTTTGGCGCTACGAATCCTTGTGATGGCGCACAGATTGCTGGGATCGTGCTGGGCAAGCAGTGCAACTTACTAGGGGAAATTGTATGGCGACTGAAACGGCTTAGTTGAGTTATTCCTTAGCGATAAATAGTTAGTTTTTCTAAATTTCGAGATCATTACGCGATGTCAAATTCACAACAAACCATGCGCTTGGAGACAAGTGAACCGGTAGATTTTACTTTGGATTTTGATTTGGGGGTTGGGGAGGCAGCAGAGTGTGAAGGGGGAAATAGTTTCTTAATTCTTGCAAGTCGTTCAGCGACTCTATTTTCGAAAAA